CAGGGCCTGGCTTGACGACGACATGAGAGATTGGTGTCAGAAAGATGTGCGCACTACTTGAGCATATTGGCACTACAATACAGAGGAATGTGTAAACGATTGACGAAATGTGTAGTGGACACCTACGGGATATCTGCCCATGGATCGTGGTGATGACGATGATGATGATAAACTATTAAACTACAGAGGTACCCCGGAGATCGAACTTAATTCGTTCCAGAAGGCCATTCGAACACCGATTTGTTCGAACACCAAATTAATGTTCCCCATAAGAATTTAAGTAAATGACATTAATTGGTTCCAGACACAAGATATCTCTCATTAGACAGCATTTTTACACGAAGTTTACAGTAATTACATGCATAAAATCACACAAAAAAACAAGAAACACAATAAATAAATGGAATAAAAATATGGGATAAATTAAATAAATGAACATTGAACTTCACTTTACCTCTAGTAAGGAGAGTTGATGGCTTGAGTGGAAGGTGGTGAGGAGGAGGTGGTGGTGGTGTTATTGTTTGGAAGGGGAGTCCCCTTTGTCTGGGCAAGCGTCATGCACGCTGCTGGCCATACGCGTCTCAGCCGTACAAAGTTCTTTGAAGTCGCGATTGCCCGTTCGACCTACGAATTTCGTTCGGTTTCCGTGGCAAAAAATGTTGGGAAATATCCACCGATTTGTTCGAGTTCTGGTGCGTTCGACCTCCGATGTTCTACTGTATTTTTATTTTACCAGGTAAGGCCCCACTGAGCTATGTAGCTCTTTTTCAGAAGCGACCTGGCCACAAATGATAGCCCAACGAAGTGGCTTATCACGTGCAAATGTATAGCAGCCAAACACTCTTAAACGCACGTTGATTCTAAATGCGGATGGAAAAACCGGGGGACGCGGGGAAAAAATCCACATGACCACAGAGAGAACACGCGAACTCCAAACATACATCAGGCGTCAGGGTTGGGATTGAACCCACGACCTCCTGCATACCAGGCGAGGTAGTTAACATCTCACCACGGAGAGAGAGAGAGACACTCAAACTCAACATATACAGTAGGCGTCAGGGTCGGGATTGAACCCACGAACCTCCTGTAGACCAGGCGAGGTAGTTAACATCTCACCACGGAGAGAGAGACACGCAAACTCCAAATATACAGCAGGCGTCAGGGTCGGGAATGAACCCACGACCTCCTGCATACCAAGCGAGGTAGTTAACATCTCGCCACTGAGACACGCAAACTCCAAATATCCAGCAGGCATCAGGGTCGGGATTAAACCTACGACCTCCTGCGTACCAGGCGAGCTAATTAACATCTCACCACGGAGAGAGAGAGAGACACGCAAACTCAACATATACAGCAGGCATCGTCAGGGTCGGAATCGAACCCACGAAGAAGACTGACAATGATGATGATGTGGAATATTGCAAACCCCTTTGTTGGGTTCAAGCACCGTGTGACTCGGAAATAAACATTTCCAAGAATAGCGACGAATTTGGGCTTAGGGGAAAATCCACGAGTTATTAATTTATGTCAAAACCTCCGGTTGCGCGCGGTTAATTCACAAATCGGATAAACCGCACGCTGATAATCTAGATTCCATTGTATTTACATTTTCAAGTTCAGCAATAATAATAAAAATACGCTTGATATTATTCAGATGCTGCAACCAATACCGCACTCCTCCATATGATTTGTTCATTAAGAACCACTGCTATTGACAGCTGCCCGACACAATGTAAATCAATTTATAACATTTTCGACATGCGTTTTTCTGGATTTTTGTTGTTGTTATTCTGTCTCTCACTGTTCAAATAAAAGTACCATTAAAATTATAGACTGATCATTTCTTTGTCAGTGGGCAAGCGTACAAAATCAGCAGGGGATCAAATACTTTTTTTCCCTCACTGTACGTTACGATAAGTTCAATGCATGTGTGATACATAGCTTTAGAGATTTCATTTTTGGGTTACCACGATACAATACATACGTTCATTGCATGTTAAAAGTTGTTTTTATAGCAGATAGGATTGTTTTCGGAAAGAAAAAAAACTTTCTATGAAATTTCAGTTCGTATAGGCAGGCTAAGAATTTACCTTGTTTCTTTTTACTTTAAATTTTACCGTGCAATACAGTATTGTAATGAATAAATACATAACAGTGTATAGTTTATACAGTACGGTACTGTAAATTGCTCCGTTTTGCTAAATTGTCACCATTCTTTAAGACTCCTGGGTAGGCTAAGGCCATCTTCGACTGACGATGTTTTCGACTTACAGTGGTGGTCATCGTAACGCATCTCCATCCTAAGTAGAGGACTACCTGGATATTTTTTTGTAAATGAGATTATTAATTGCAAGAATATAAACTCAGATGTTTGAAGCCAATACATCACCACACTCTCCTCCACGCCACTGGCCATGGGCCCCAATGTGTTCACGGCTACAACCCAATGATGATGATGAAGTTATGTTTTAAGCACTATTTATTGCAAATACCATACTATACTTGAATCCACTCAGAAGTTTAAGCCGCTGTGTAAGTTTACGCCTCACAACTCACAGTACCACTGTGATCACAGCTACAACCCCAATGGCACGCGTGAGCTCAACTCAGAGATGAAAATAATTATAACAATTACATATTCTTAGTTTTTTCGGTAAAGTCACGTTGAAGAGAAACAACAAAATAACAAAATATATATAAAACAATATATATATTGTTTTATATTTTGTTATTTTGTTGTTTCTCTTCAACGTGACTTTACCGAAAAAACTAAGAATATGAATTACTGCAGTCACGAAAGCTTTAAATCAAAATATAACAATTACATTTATACTTGTAAAAGCGCTTTTCATAAGGACCTCAAAGCGCTGTTCAGGAGATAGCAGCAGCAGACACTTAGCGTAAAACAATAATTTTATAATCCATTTACCAAATGAACTAATAGTTTATTAAGCGGAAGCATACACATAGGTTTAAAGACGCATTTAAAAAAAAAAAATTCTGATTTATGATGATTATGAAGCTATGTTTTAAGAATTATGAATTGCAAACATTACACTTTAATCCATTCACAAGTTTAAGGCACTGCTGTAAACACTTGTCACGACTAACCACACAGACAGCCCAACAGTGTCTAACAGCTACCACCCCCAATGCACACAGACACTAAACTCAGTGATGCAAAAATTATCTACATTTTAGTAAACAAGTCATTGCAACGTTATACTTGAATCTAACACAAGTTTAAGTCCCTGCTGTATAATAATGTACAACTCACTACTAACCACACACACAGTCCCCACTGTGTTCACAGCTACCACCCCAACGCACGCATAAACTCAACTCAGTCATTAAAAATGATGAGTTATGTTTAGTAACCAAAAGTCATTGCAACGTTATACTTGAATGTAATAACAAGTGTAAGTCCCTGCTGTATAATAATGTACAACTCACTACTGAGTACACAGACAGTCCCACTGTGTTCACAGCTACAACCCCAACGCACACAGACACTAAACTCAGTGATTAAAAATTAGAAGTTATGTTTAGTAACCAATAGTCATTGCAACGTTATACTTGAATCTAATAACAAGTTTAAGTCCCTGCTATATAATAATGTACTACTCACTATCCACACAGTCCCACTGTGTTCACAGCTACCACCCCAACGCACGCATAAACTCAACTCAGTCATTAAAAATGATGAGTTATGTTTAGTAACCAATAGTCATTGCAACGTTATACTTGAATGTAATAACAAGTTTAAGGCACTGCTGTATAATAATGTACTACTCACTACTAACCACACACACAGTCCCCACTGTGTTCACAGCTACAACCCCAATGCACACAAACTCAACTCAGTCATTAAAAATGATGAGTTATGTTTAGTAAACAATAGTCATTGCAACGTTATACTTGAATGTAATAATAAGTTAAAGGCACTGCTGTATAAAAATGTACTACTCACTACTAACCACACACACAGTCCCCACTGTGTTCACAGCTACAACCCCAATGCACACATAAACTCAACTCAGTGATTTAAAATTAGAAGTTATGTTTAGTAACCAATAGTCATTGCAACGTTATACTTGAATCTAATAACAAGTTTAAGGCACTGCTGTATAATAATGTACAACTCACTACTAACCACACACACAGTCCCACTGTGTTCACAGCTACCACCCCAATGCACACAAACTCAACTCAGTCATTAAAAATGATGAGTTATGTTTAGTAACCAATAGTCATTGCAACGTTATACTTGAATCTAATAACAAGTTTAAGGCACTGCTGTATAATAATGTACAACTCACTACTAACCACACACACAGTCCCCACTGTGTTCACAGCTACCACCCCAACGCACGCATAAACTCAACTCAGTCATTAAAAATGATGAGTTATGTTTAGTAACCAATAGTCATTGCAACGTTATACTTGAATGTAATAACAAGTTAAAGGCACTGCTGTATAATAATGTACTACTCACTACTAACCACACACACAGTCCCCACTGTGTTCACAGCTACCACCCCAATGCACACAAACTCAACTCAGTCATTAAAAATGATGAGTTATGTTTAGTAACCAATAATCATTGCAACGTTATACTTGAATGTAATAACAAGTTTAAGGCACTGCTGTATAATAATGTACAACTCACTACTAACCACACACACAGTCCCCACTGTGTTCACAGCTACCACCCCAATGCACACATAAACTCAACTCAGTCATTAAAAATGATGAGTTATGTTTAGTAACCAATAGTCATTGCAACGTTATACTTGAATGTAATACTGAATGTAAGTTTAAGGCACTGCTGTATAATAATGTACTACTCACTACTAACCACACACACAGTCCCCACTGTGTTCACAGCTACTACAACCCTCAATGCCCCACCACCACCACCGCGTCAACCTCTTCAGGGACATCGTTGTTGTTGTTGTTGTGTTGTTGTTGTGTTGTTGTTGACGAAGTCTTTGACTCACTTTTAAAGGCGGCGACCAGGCCCCGTCCGTCCTTGATGAGCTCCTTGATGAACTTGTTCGTCTTGTCAAGCGCCACTTCGTGCGATTTGAGACGTTCCCTGAACTGCGGGCTGTCGAGGTGACAGTCGACGAATTCCAGCGGAGGTAGCCCCATCTTATTCTCCTCCTCCTAGACAACAACAATAACAAACAAAATTCTCAATAATTTAAAAAGAGTTATATCAATTGTGAGGGTGTTGGGAGACCACCAGCGCCAACAGAGAGGGAGTGATACGGCACGCGAGGAGAGACGACTTACCTCCCCAGACGCTGGTTTATAACTGCAGCAGCAGCAGCAACAATAATTTATAATTAAAATAAAAAACCTTCTAAAAACTTCAACGCCGCCAAAAAAAATCACGAACTTCACTCCTCACACGGCCGATAAAAAAAATTACATTTTTTTCCCGTGCGTTTTGCTTTGGCGATACAAAACTAAACTGAACTTCCACCAACTTCCGGCGACGTTGACGCCGATTTGCGAGTTGTTGCGTTCGTAGTTGTTCGTCGTCGTTAATAATTTTACGATCGTTTTGAAAAGTTCACGAAAGTTAAATTCCCGCCGTCCCCCTCCAAGACGACTCTGCAGAGAGCCCGGCCACCATTTTTTTTTCTGGGATGAGGGGGCGGGGCGCAGCGGGTGGATGAGGAGGGGGTCGTGGGGGGTGAGGGGGGCGGGGGATTGAAGGGGGGGCGTGGTTAGTGGGGGGGTGAGGGGGCGGGCGGGCGGGGGGGGGCAGCGGGGGATGTGGTGGGGGCGGGGTGGTAAGGGGGAGGGGGCCACGGAACGTGAGTACCGCGCCACGTGACCCGGCTCCACCCGTGGCCATGTTGGGTCAGGAGGCCTTCGGGGTGGTGGAGGGGGAGAGGTGGAATGAACCTTTCGAAGCGAGGCCAGTAGAGACAGAGATATCGAGTTGACGATAGGAAATCTGCGCTTGTGTATATACAGCGCCGAGGATTCGATAATAAAAACAAATTTCTGATGACTTTTTTTTAAACGGGTATACTTTACGAATAGTTACGCGAATGGCAGCTATTGTGTAGCAGACAAAAACACCCCTTGAGTTCATCACAAAGTGTCAACGAAACTGATTTGTATTTAAAAATAAAAGTTACGCGATTCTAATACGCTGCAGTCCGCCATTGCCTTCACCCCTACCCAAGATGGCGACCAGCGAACTCAAACTAATTAAATTAATTATACGGACGGGGCGGTGGGCGGGGCGAGGGTGAGCTGGTGACCAATCGCACGTCGTCCCGCTTCGCCACGTGACACGGACGTGACCCAATTGCATGTGTTGTGTCATATCTAAGAGGTCGGGGGTTCATTTTAAATCCCTACTGCTGTAGCGCCGCCACGTGCCTGCCACTGAGAATTACACCGGGGATGTGTCGAGTCCTCGCCATAGCAATGTGGAATTTCCACCCGCTGTCAAACTCCATGTTGCCACGGACAAGTGCCCAATTGCGTTGACCAAAGAGGAGAGGCCACTGTTGACTTTCCGCAAATCGTTTAAGGGGATTCCCCCACTTACGAACACTCGACTTGCGGACTTTCAGAGATACGAACAAACCTGTCACCGCCCCTGTGTTCAGTTGCCTGTTCGGAACCGAGAGTCGTAAGTTCAACCGCTGCGCAATAGATGGCGGTGGTGGCATCTACATCTGCAGAACATGAAGAACCAGTGGCATATACATCTGTAAAACGTGAAGACCTAGTGACATCTACATCTACAGAACATGAAGAACCAGTGACATCTACATCTGCAAAACATGAAGAACCAGTGGCATCTACATCTGCAAAACATGAAGAACCAGTGGCATCTACATCTGCAGAACGTGAAGAACCAGTGGCATCTACATCTGCAGAATGTGAAGAACCAGTGGTATCTACAGAACATGAAGAACCAGTGGCATCTACATCTGCAGAGCATGAAGAACCAGTGGCATCTACATCTGCAGAACGTGAAGAACCAGTGGCATCTACATCTGCAAAACATGAAGAACCAGTGACATCTACATCTAGATAACGTGAAAAACCAGTGGCATCTACATCTGCAGAGCATGAAGAACCAATGGCATCTACATCTGCAGAGCATGAAGAACCAGTGGCATCTACATCTGCAGAACGTGAAGAACCAGTGGCATCTACATCTACAGAACGTGAAGAACCAGTGGCATCTACATCTGCAGAACGTGAAGAACCAGTGGCATCTACATCTGCAGAGCATGAAGAACCAGTGGTATCTACATCTGCAAAACATGAAGAACCAGTGGCATCTACATCTGCAGAACGTGAAGAACCAGTGGCATCTACATCTACAGAACGTGAAGAACCAGTGACATCTACATCTGCAAAACATGAAGAACCAGTGACATCTAGATCTGCAGAACGTGAAGAACCAGTGACATATACATCTGCAGAGCATGAAGAACCAGTGGCATCTACATCTGCAGAACGTGAAGAACCAGTGGCATCTACATCTGCAAAACATGAAGAACCAGTGACATCTACATCTGCAGAACGTGAAGAACCAGTGACATCTACATCTGCAGAACGTGAAGAACCAGTGACATCTACATCTGCAACACGTGAAGAACCAGTGCCATTTACATCTGCAGAACATGAAGAACCAGTGGCATCTACATCTGCAGAACGTGAAGAACCAGTGGCATCTACATCTGCAGAACGTGAAGAACTAGTGACATCTACAGCTACAGAACATGAAGAACCAGTGACATCTACATCTGCAAAACATGAAGAACCAGTGGCATCTACATCTGCAAAACATGAAGAACCAGTGACATTTACATCTGCAGAACATGAAGAACCAGTGACATCTACATCTGCAGAGCATGAAGAACCAGTGGCATCTACATCTGCAGAGCATGAAGAACCAGTGGCATCTACATCTGCAGAACGTGAAGAACCAGTGGCATCTACATCTGCAGAACGTGAAGAACCAGTGGCATCTACATCTGCAGAACGTGAATAACCAGTGACATCGACATCTGCAGAGCGTGAAGAACCAGTGGCATCTACATCTGCAAAACATGAAGAACCAGTGACATCTACATCTGCAGAACATGAAGAACCAGTGACATCTACATCTGCAAAACGTGAAGAACCAGTGACATCTACATCTGCAGAGCGTGAAGAACCAGTGGCATCTATATCTGCAGAACGTGAAGAACCAGTGGCATCTACATCTGCAGAATGTGAAGAACCAGTGGCCTCTACAGAACATGAAGAACCAGTGGCATCTACATCTGCAGAACGTGAAGAACCAGTGGCATCTGCATGTACAGAACGTGAAGAACCAGTGACATCTACATCTGCAGAGCGTGAAGAACCAGTGGCATCTACATCTGCAGAATGTGAAGAACCAGTGGCATCTACAGAACATGAAGAACCAGTGACATCTACATCTGCAGAACATGAAGAACCAGTGGCATCTACATTTGCAGAACGTGAAGAACCAGTGGCATCTGCATCTACAGAACGTGAAGAACCAGTGGCATCTACATCTGCAGAGCATGAAGAACCAGTGGCATCTACATCTGCAGAACGTGAAGAACCAGTGGCATCTACATCTAAAGAACGTGAAGAACCAGTGACATCTACATCTGCAGAGCGTGAAGAACCAGTGGCATCTACGTCTGCTGAATGTGAAGAACCAGTGGCATCTACAGAACATGAAGAACCAGTGACATCTACATCTGCAGACCGTGAAACAGTTGGAGGCAGTCGCCCTCCAGCAACAACTGACGGTAGAGGAGCGACGCTCACAACAACGGGCAGAGCGCCGGGCAGATAAAATACAGCAAGTTGACACAGTAAGGGGTACAGCTGGTGATGCATCTGCCGGTCATCTCAGTCAGCCAACCCATGGCACCTGCTGGGTCTATCCCGTGACCTCCAGTCAGCAGCGAGCCTTCGACACTTCACGTGGCCTCAAAGTGCACCTGGCATGGCACAGGCACCGTGGTGAGGCCACCAGCGACGTCGTGGTGCATGACGGGTATTGCTATTATCTTGTATTTTCCAGGGTGTTTGAAAAAGATGGACCCGATTTGAAATCGCTATATCTTTGAAATTGGGTCCAAGTTTTTTTTAAAACACCCTGTATTTTCTACGAGCTGTTTTGCCCGTCCAAGGACGGGTGTATATTGCAGTAAGTCTGAAATATTGAATAGAAAAATTGTTCAGCTCATGATTATTAATGAGGGGGGGAACCCCATGTGGAGTGACGTCACCCCGTCATGCTTATTGTTGAGGGGTGCAGCATATGGCGTGACGTCACCCGCTCATGATTATTAATGAGGGGAGGGGTGCGGCATGTTGAGTGACGTCACCCCCTCGTGGTTATTGTGGAGGGGTGCGGCATATGGAGTGACGTCACCCGCTCATGATTATTAATGAGGGGAGCGGCATGTGGCGTGACGTCAACCGCTCATGATTATTAATGAGGGGAGGGGTGTGACATGTTGAGTGACGTCACCCCTCATGGTTATTATTGAGGGGTGGGGCATGTGGAGTGACGTCACCCGCTCATGATTATTAATGAGGGGAGGGGTGCGGCATGTGGCGTGACGTCACCCGCTCATGATTATTAATGAGGGTGTGGAGTGCGCATCCTTCTTGTGCGTTTAAATTGCCACGCATACATGAATATTAATGAGGGGGTGGGCTCTTTTGTAGTGACGTCACGCACGGATGTAGCACTTTGCTGCGTAGATTATTTTTTTTACCGTCACTTTGCGTCATCAATTATTTAATTCAGCTCGACCTTCCTCCGCGTTCGTGTAATATTAATGAGGGGGGCGGGGGGGGGTGGGCCTCATGTGGAGTGACGTCACGCGCGGGACGGACGGACATTTCTGGGTGATTATAGTGGATAATGATTTGTGGGGAGGGGTAGTGTCGCTGTTAGCGTTACAAATCCCGGGCTACCAGTGACGATTATCTGAACCGGTCATGGGCCTCCCCTAGGTCGATTCAGCCTCAAGCGAGTACTTGGTGCGGTGTGCAGTAAACATCACCACTGGGGGAGACAAAGGCGGCCGGGCGTGGTGCTGGCCACCCACCCCCTCGTGTGCCGTGCCGGCCTTCATAAGTGCTCGCGAACAGCACTTGCCCCCACCGCCTGTTAAGGCTACACGGCGGATCTCGGTCTTTGTATTAAAGACCTCCCGTGTAGTCGACACGGTCTTTTGAGGCCAGTGCTGAAGATATCCAGACACTGCACATGGATTCCCACAGACTTAGAGAGAGACTCAGACTGATATGAAGCCATAAGCCCTCACAGGCTTACAGAGACCAACAGACTAACACAGACGCACGTATCGACCCAAACTTACAGAGCCACAGGCTCACATCGAATAATATACTAACACACTTTGAGACGCAGACTTAGAGACCAATAGCACACACAGCTCATACACAGCACAGCAAGAACATAGCACACAGCTCATACACAGCACACACAGCTCATACACAGCACAGCAAGAACATAGCACACAGCTCATACACAGCACAGCAAGAACATAGCACACAGCTCATACACAGCAGAGCTCATACACAGTTCATACACAGCACACACAGCTCATAGTATACAGCTCATACAGAGCACACACAGCACACAGCTCA